TATGACAACATCACAAGCAAAAGAAAAAAATAAATAGGACTTAAAATTAAAAATCTTTGTGCTTCAAAGGAGACCATCAAGGAAGTGAAAGGACAACCCACAAAATGGGAGGAAATATTTGTAAACCATGTATCTGGTAGGGGGCTTGTATTCAGAATATATGAAGAAATCTGATAACTCAATAATAAGACAAAATGAACACAATTAAACAATGGGCCAAAGATCTGAATAGACATTTCTCCAAGGATGATATAAAATAAGTGCATGAGAAGATACTCAATATCATTAGCCACTAGGGAAATGCAAGTCAAAACCACAAAGAGATACCAATTCAAAGCCAGTAGGACAGCTATAATAAAAAAGATAGACAATAACAAGTGTTGACAGGCATGTGGAAAAATTGGAACCTTCATACACTGGTATGAAATGTAAAATAATGCAGCCACTTTGAAAATCAGTTTGGTCATTCTTAAAAATATTAAGCATAGAATGACTATATGACCCAGCTAATCTATTCCTAGGTATGTATCTAAGAGAAGTAAAAATAGACATCTGCACAAAAATGTATACACAAGGTTCACAGCAGTATTATTCACAAGACCCAAAATGTGGAAATAATCCAAATGTCCATTAGTGAATGAATGAATAAATAAAAGTGGTATATAGTGGAATATTACACAGCAGTTAAAACGTATAAAGTAATGATTCATACTAGAACATGGACAAGCTTTGAAAGCACAATACTAAGTAAAAGAGACCAATCACAAAAGCCCACTATTGTATGATTTCATTTATATGAAATGTTCAGAGTAGGCAAACCTACAGAGATAAAAGTAGATTCAGTAGTTGTATGGGCCTTAGGGGAAAGAGTTGGAGAAAAATGAGGAGTAACCACTAATCAGTACAGAATTTCTTTTTAGGGTGATGAAAATGTTCTAAAATTGATTATAGACCTGGTTACACAACTTTATGCATAAGCTAAAAACCATTAAATTGTACACTTTAAGTAGGTACCTTACATGTTATATAAATTATATCTCATACAGCTCTCATTGACACAAGACACAACAACTATTGAAGTGTTTCAGGATAAAATATCAGGTCTATGGAAAACTAAAATAGCATTTCACAGTACTTGTAAATAATTCATGAGCAACAGAGAAGATGGATTAAGATTTGAGCAGAAGGGGCTCAAATACCACTGAAGTGACAAAATTGGTTTTCACTTATGTCTTAAAGGATCTGCTGCATGCTTCATAGTCATATAGTATTTCACTGTATTGATACATTTTACATTTAACTCTTACTCTTATGAATTTGAGAAGTATTTACCTGTGCTTGAACACTAACATTTTCCCTTTATTCATATAACAGTGACTAAGGGTTTACTCTGCAATGTACTGTGCTGGAGAAAGCTACAGTTTTTTCTCAATGTCTATTTATGCCAATGCTTTGTAACCTTTTGATATTTGTTGAATCTTATATCTATATATCCCCTTCAAGGACTTCAGCCCCACAGTCTGTTTTGCAGTGTCCTATTTTATTGTTTTTTTTTGAAAGTTGGAGAAAGCAAACCTCTGGTGTAGTTGTTTCTTGTGAAATGTTGAATACCTCATAAATTCATTTTCTTAACAGTTCATGAGTACCTACCACGTACCAGGTGCTAAGCAACCTTCAGAGAACTACACAGGAGTCATCCTGGTCCTCGTCACATATGTATTCTAATGGTAGGAGGGGTGTGGAACAAACAAGCAATCAAGAAATGAATGAGAAAAAGATTAGCTCGTGTCTTAGTTTCCCATTGCTACTGTAACAAATTGCTACAAATTTAGTGACTTAAAACAACACATAGTTTTCTCTCACAGTTCTGGGGCAGAAGTCTAAAGTGAGTCTCACAGAGCTGAAATCAACTTGTTAGGATTAGTTCCTTCTTGAAGTTCTGAGGGGAGAATCCACATACATGCCTTTGCCAGCTTTTAGTAGTCTCCTGTATTTCATAGCTGGTGGCCTCTTCCTCCATCTTCAGAGTGTGTCACTCCAGTCTCTGCTGTTGTCATCACACTGCCTTCTCCTGTGTCCCTCTTACAGGATCATTGTGATTCTATCTGGCCTATCTAGATAACCTTAGATAATCTCCTCCTCTCAAAATCTTTACTTTGACCACATTTGCAGAGTCCCTTTTGCCATATAAGGAAACAAGCACAGGTTCTGAGAGTTAGGACTTGGACCTTGGGGAGCCACTCTTCAGCCTACGATGGCAAGGGATAAGAACTATCAGAATGAAAATCGCATGCTATGACAGAAAGGGTCCAAAATACTCCTTCAGGTGGAGTGGGTAGGGAAGGCCTCTCTGAGCCTGCATCTTAGGCTGAAATCCAAATTGCTGGAAAGTGAGTGGGAGTTGGAGAAAATTCTAGGCAAAGGCAATGGCTAGTGAAAATGAAGCTGGAGAAGTTAATGCTCCTTGGATTGGAAGAAAGTTACGGAATGGTAATTGAGTTTTCAATTCACCTTTGCTTTTTCAGAATGAGAACACTTAAAGCCCCATCCTTTCTCTGGGTATTTTATATGGGAATTTGCCCCAAACTAATGTTTATCAGTGGAGATCTCTTGTCATGAAACATAGTAGAATTCTCTTGGACATCGAAGAGCACCCATCAAGGCAGAGAGCCCCTCGGCAGGCCCCATAATAAATTCAGAAGAAGGCATAAACCTCAAAACAAGAGTCTGTTTGGAGGGTGGCTTTCAAAATATTGATGCTGTCATCTGCAATTGCTTTTTGTGGCTTTTGCTAACATTTAAACTCAAACAGGAGCTAAAAGAGGAAACCTCAGTTGTCTGCCCCTGGGAAGGTGTGGTGTTGATTTCCAGCAAGGCCAGGCCAGCTCCTTGCAGGCCAGTGATCTGAGCAGTTGGAGAGTGGCTGCAGTGCTTTCTCAGCAGGTGGAGGACTGCTGGGCAAGGCAGCTCCCCCCATCTCCTAAGTCATCCCTTTCTATTGATTTATTTTCTTTGGTCTGAGTGTCATGAAGTCCCAGAACACAACTAAGACTGGGTGTTCTGAAGTTAGCCTGATACAAATAGCCTTGTGAGAGGACTCCCACTTTTTCACACCTGTAGCAAATGTGTACCTCTACTACACCTTTCATTGTGGTCCTCCATGAGAGTGCCTGGCACAGGGCAAATCAATACTCACACATACCAGGCATCCGTGTGCCAAACACTGGGCAGGGGGCTGATCTGCACCATTCTTAATGTCGGTACAGACCACGACCTGACCATTCTCAAGGGCTTCTGAATGAGCAGGATGGTCCTAACCAGGAAATTATTTTCAGAAAGGAGAGTTAAATATGACCAAATATCCATCTGAAGATTTGCATACAATTATGAACTTGGTCCTTTGATCAAATTCTAACCTTGGCAATCAAATGAAGCCATCTGAGATTCTTGCTGTTTTTATGGTAGTTTGTCATTCTCTGTCTTTCCTGGCCCTGAGCTGCGGAGTGTTAAAGGTTAAGCTTCGCTCTCTTTCCCCCTCCCTGGTTGACTGCCTTGCTGCAGAGGTTGAAATGTCCCCATTCATCAGAATGCACGGAAGGAAGTCGTAAGACAAAAGGTGACTTGCAAAAGTTAAGGCAGTGATTTTCAAGTTTAAATGGAAACGGACAGACTGGCTTGAAGAGCCTAATACATAGTGGCAGTGATTATAGGTCATGAGTTCACCTCAGTATGATAAATGAAACCCAATTTTCAAATCTTATGAGACAAATGCTAGAAAGCTGCTAAGGAAGGAGGCAGCTGCTTCCACTGCCCGAAACCTAGAGCCAATGTGTTATTTCCCCCAACATTCAAGAACAAGTAACCTTTTGGTTCCCAGCATGGTATGTTTTATAACTGGCAAAACCTGATAACATTGTCCCAGAGTCCAAGTGGTTGTTTCAGGTCTAAGTCCAGTGGCATCTCACACTCTTGGGTCACACAGTACCTTCTGTGTGCCAGTTTCCCAGTGAACTTCATCACAGGAGCAGTTTAGAATCCTCATATCCTAACAGCCCATAAAAGGTGCAATTGCACCCAGACAGAAGTTATTAAAAGTCAGAAAAGCTCCCCCGCTCTTGGTGGATGTCTCAGATGCTAAGCAGAGGTCCCTGCTGGAGCCTCAGGATCTAATAGGGAACATACTCAGACTGAGTGCTGAAAGGGAGAGCTACCTCCACAACACCTCAGCTCACCATGGCTTTCTAAATCTTGTAGCGATCTTGTGAATAGTACAGTTATACTGCATTGAGTTAAAGGTCGTTCGTTCTTAGTGCAAAGTGCAAAATAACTTAAAAACACACTGCCATTTCTGTAACTAGGTCTTGACACTTGCTAATATTTTGATGTATTGGGAGCTTCCAAGAATGGCAGTGGCAGCCCCCTTTCTCCCTCTATGATAACGCATGCCCTGGGGTCCCTGAGATCTTTGGAGTCACCGAGAGAGGGATGCGCGGGAAGGGGCTAAGCAGGGAACTCAGTACAATTGGGGAACGTGGGCCCTTTTTCTCCAAAAGGCAGCTTGGGGAAAGCGCCCGCGGAGAGCGCGGCTCTAGGACCACAGAAGCCTGGCTGTCCTCCGAGCGGCCTCTATCCACGCAGAACAGCATCTCAAGCTACAGATTCTTCTCGGGGTCTGTGTCCCTGCGTTACCAGGGGCCCTCCGCGGGCCTCCAAAGGGGGCCACTGGGCAGCCCCGTGCGCCTCAAGTGGGGCCGCCCCCCGCCCGCAGGGCTCAGCTCTCCTCCGCCCCGCCCACACAGGCCGCTCGGCCCCGCCCAACCCGCCCACCTCAGGTGGGGGCCGCCCCACTCCGCCACCGCCCCGCCCACCCCTCCGCCTCAGGTGGGGGGACCGCCCCGCCCACCGAGCCGCACTACTCCGCCGCCGCCCCGCCCATCCCTTCCGCCTCAGGTGGGGGCCGCCCCGCCCACCAGGGCCGCACCACTCCGCCGCCGCCCCGCCCACCCCGTCCGCCTCAGGTGGGGCCGCTCCGCCCGCCACGTTCTTCCCGCCCCGCCGCGTCAGGCCGCGTCTCTTCGTCTCTTCTTGGTCGGCGTCTGGGGTGCCGCAAGTTTTGACATTTTGGCGGCTGAGGAGCGCGCCGGCACTCCCGGAACGACGGCTGTGGCGGCTGCAGGCCTTCGCGGGTCCCTCAACCGCGCCCCGGCACTCCCGCCACCCCGGGTCGGGCGGCCACGAGGCCTGGTCGCGTCCTGCCGCGCTCGCCCGCCGGGCGGCTGCAAACATGTCGCGGGGGCCAGAGGAGGTGAACCGGCTCACGGAGATCACCTACCGGGTAAGCGGGTTCGGGTGGCTCGAGGATTCGGGGGCTCCGGGGCTCGGAGAGATCCGAGAAACCTGAGGGCGCCGGGGCTCGGGACCGTGGGACTCGGGGCGCCGGGGTCTAGGACCTGGGAATTCTGGGGGCACCGGGGTTCGGGGCCCGGAGATTCTGGGGGCGCCCGGACTCGGGACGCAGGGACTCCGGGGGCGCTGGGGTTCTGAGCTTGAGACCGGGAAACGGGGAGGCTCCGTCGACGGCTGGCAGCTCTGGCCGGGGGAAGGTCGGGATTTTTCACCTTGGGGGTGAGGAGGGGACTTTCCGCGGGGACACGCCCCTCCCCGCCACCCCTCCCGGCGCTGGAGACGCCCGACAAACTCCACGTTTCACAGCCTCACGTATATGGGGGGCGCTGGGGAAGGGGTTGCCTGGTCGACCCCGGAGGCCATATCCTCCTACCCGACTGGTCCTTGGAATCGGTGGCCGCCCTTAAGCTGCCCTCCGAGACCAGAGAGCCCAGCTCGAGTTTCCTCCGAGGGAAGGCTGCGCGCGAGAATCAGCGTAGGGGGGCCGCCCGCCGCTCCCGGCCGAGCGAGGGCGCCGGGGGCTGCCCCAGAAAGGCTGCCACTCGCTCCCTTTGGCCCCTTTCTCTCGCGGCTTGATTATTCCCTGGGGTGGTTGGAGTCAGAGAACACCCTAGGTTTTAACAAAGTTGACCTAACCCTAGGAATGCGTCGATTGTCATTCTCTTAACTCTCTTTTATTATGAGATTACTTTTCCGGAGACGATATAGATTGAGGATTAGTGGCCGGTTTATTAAGTTTAAGTATTTATAAATGAATTCCAGTCGAAATAAAATATGCCTTCAATCACCTGCTATTAATAGAATACAAAACAACTTTTGTTTTAAGAGGACTTAGGTTCATGGAACCCAAGTTCTCTAAATTCATTTGTAGCCATTTTTAAGGCCCACGGTTTGGTCATTTCTATGGTTTTTTTTTTCTTAACCCTAAATTTTAGTTTCTGAATTTGCAAAGTGTGAGTGAATTCCTGAAACCAGAGTTTATGGACTTTCGTTGGATAAGAATTTTAAAAGCGCATGAAAAGAGACTCTAATCTACCCTTTGAATTTGATTGATTCCCTTCATCTGAATACACAGTGTAACACGTGAATTATGCTTTATAGATTGATATAGTAGACACAGTTGAAACAGCATTTATGGGCTCAGTAAGTAACTGTGACCAAAATCTGTTCCTTATTCATGTGTTTCATTAACAGAGGGTAAATTATAGAAATCCCAGAAATTTGAATGTTAAAGGTTTACAGTTGTATTGAGAGTGGCAATATTTAAATGATCTTGAAGACAGTGAAGCATGCAGTGTGGGATGTTGAGAAAAATTTGTAAATAAAACACTCTTACTCCTAGATTAGGGGAATAGTAGCTACCCTGATGACTGTCCCTTAAGGAAAAGCTGTATGTAATTGAGGAATGCAGATCATTGCAAATTTGAGGTGGAGTATCCGCTGGGGCACGAAAACGTGAACTCTTAAGTTCCTCTCCCCATGCCTCTGAGAATACAGGTACATAAATCTTTGCAATCTGAGATGAGATTGCAATTTGAGACTAGTAATCAGATGCTCAGAAATAACTCTTCTCTTTGCTTTTTTCCCCGCACTTGTCCTGCCCTTCACTTTTAGTAATGATTCAGTGGAGGGACTGTACTCAAGTGAATTGCAGTACCGCAAGTGCCGACCACTTTGGCATGCTGAATTACCCAGAGAACTGGAGCAGGAAGAAAAAAGTGAGAATTTCGTAGTTTTGGAAGTAATGTAAATTACTTCCATATCTTAAAAGGTTATAGTACACTGAAGATAAGAACCTATTGCTTTCCTTTCCCACGTGTCTTAAAACCTACTAAAGCTCATGAATGTTTGATTCACTGTAATCACCATTTCCTTGTTAATGTCTTTTTTGTGTTGAGATGGTGGGACAAAATTTACAGCTCCAGACAACACGTTTATATGTAATCTATGATGTGAATGCTGCTAGCTCATACTTTGGCTATGACAGAAGTGCATAGTGAATTTTTTATGGTGAATTTCAGGTGTGATTGAAAGTCTGCAATCTTTTCACCACCTGCTCATTGGGCTCTTCCTACCCCCTCCACAATCAAAGCTGAAAACAATTTGAGCTTAATATGGTAAAAATTACTGGTAGTTTCCATGAAATCTAGTTCGTTTTAAAAGGAGATTTCCTTTATGTTACCGAGCAGTCTACAATATTTTACTAATAGGAACACAACCTACCAGGTGCATTTACAAAAGCCACCTGCAGATGAGATTTTATAACTTTGCTAGTATGGGTTTGAGATTTTTTTTTTTAATGCTCAAATCTCTCCAACTATGAAATAAAGGAGTAAATTCTTTGGGTGAAATGGGGTATTACAAAGTAGTGTGATCCTTTATACAATATCAAATATCTTTAAATATTTATTTACACATTTTCTGAGTTTTCTAAAATGTATACTTAGACAAATGATTACTGGAGATCCATACTGAATCTCAGGAGGTTGTGTGTTTTACTACTTAACAAACAAATGGTATGATAATAAGCCCCAAAATGTCAAGTAATGTTACTCTTGCTAATTAGAGTTCCCAAAATGTCAAGTAATGTTACTCTTGCTAATTAGAGTTAAGCCAAAGATCCAGCCCCTTCCCCACACTTCAGCCTAGATAATATGCCCAGAATTTGCCCCCTGCAGCTTGTGTGTGATTTTTGCATGATTTTCTGATGAGTACATGCTTTGTGGTACAGGAAGAAGTAAAGTTCAAAAAAACCCTTAATTAAGAGTAACCACAACCTTCCTAGAAGTTGCAACTGTTAAAGTCTTAGGAAGCTGAAGGGGGGCTGGGTGTGACATCATCCAGGGATGTCTACCTATCTTAATAGTCCCAAAGCAGCAGTGAAGGGAAAAATGACACTTAAAAAGGAGAGGGGAAACGGAACACAGAAGTCTTTGTTTAAATGTAACCTTCTCAGGCTTGCGCAGACAGCTGTTTAAAATTGCAGACAATGCCATCCATCTCCCAACCCCACCTAACTTTACCTTTCCCCTGACAGCTCTACTGCCGTAGGATATACTGTATATTTATTATGTTCATTTATCTCTCTTCCCTCTCCAACTAGAATGTGCGTTTCCAAAGGAAAAGAGCTCTGTGGTATTCCGAGCACTTAGAGCAGTTCTTGGCATGTAGTAGGCATGCATATTTGTTGAACAAATGAACGCTAATTTATCTAGTAAGCACCAGATTCCCCCACCAGCCTTGACACTTCTAATGAAACACTGGTTTCATTCTGAGTGTACTTTAGCCCGTGAGGTGGATGTGGATTTTGTTTACCATTAAGAAACTGAGGCTCAGAGGATGCGGAGAAAGGGGAACCCTCCTACACTGTTTGTGGGAATGTAAATTAGTTCAACCATATGGAAAGCAATCTGGAGGTTCCTCAAAAAACTAAAAATAGAAATACTGTTTGACTCAGGTATTCCACTCCTAGAATTTACCCAAAGAAAACAAGATCACAGATTCAAAAAGGCATATGCACCCCTATGTTTATCGCAGCACTACTTACAATAGCCAAGAAATGGAAGCAACCTAAGTGTCCATCAGAAGATGAATGGATAAAGAAGATGTGGTACATATACACAATGGAATATCATTCAGCCATAAGAAGAAAACAAGTCCTACCATTTGCAACAACATGGATGAAGCTAGAGGGTATTGTTCTCAGTGAAATAAGCCAGGTGGAGAAAGACAAATACCAAATGATTTCACTCATTTGTGGAGTATAACAGCAAAGCAAAAACTGAAGGAACAAAGCAGCAGCAGACTCATAGACCCCACGAAGGGACTAGCAGTTACCAAAGGAAAGGGGGTGGGGAGGACGGGCAGGAAAGGAGGGAGAAGGGGATTGAGGGGTATTATGATTAGCATACATAATTTAGGGGGTGCACGGGAAAGGCAGTATAGCACAGAGAAGACAAGTAGTGACTATAGCATCTTACTATGCTGATGGACAGTAGCAGTAAAGGGGTATGGCGGGGGGGGCTTGATAATAGGGGTGAATGTAGTAACCACAGTGTTGCTCATGTGAAACCTTCATAAGATTGTATATCAATGATACCATAATAAAAATTTAAAAAAAAGAAACCCAGACCCAAAGTCTAGGAGTGACCAATGCCCACATGCCATCTATTCTGCCAGGCTCCATCTCTATCCTTTTTGTATAATAATTAGTTTCTAGTGGCCAATAAATACACAAGCCAAATATTTTTCATAATTTAATGGTCTAAGATGTCACCAGAATTTTCTGCCATTTTATTAATTCATCATCTTTGGCCTGTTTTGAACAAACCTTTTTTAAATAAAATGAGGTACTTTGTTTATTTTATTGGGTTGTAGCAAGCAGTCTTAGGATGTGTCCTAGGTTTTGTTTGTTGAATGGCTTTTTCTTTTCTCTACCTGGGTTTCACTGGGGATATATAAATGAAAGTCCCTGTCTGGTTGGCTTCCAGTGTGGACTATGCTTTCCAGATCTAGCTTTTGAAGGTTTAAACTGCCTTTTATGTTTATTGTTGTAGTTGTGTACACTATTCGATATCTTCATCTGTTCCCATAATATTACTTCAGGTGTGCCGAAGATAAAATGGGATTTGCAGAGGCCCAGACAGCTTGCTCTTGGCTCTGTGATGACTAAGAAAGGGAACAGTAAGAATCAGGTGCCAGGTAGCAGCAGAAAGGGGTGCCAGATATGAAATATTAAACTGAACAGCCCAGTATTGTAGCTTTTTGTCTGGTGAAATGAAAATACAGAGCCACACAATGAATGTCTTTTTCTGACCTAACATTTTTTACTTGACTGGAAGGGGGTTTTAGAACGATGATAACATGATTGCTATGCAGACAGAGCAGCGTCCTTTATTATGAAACCTGGGGCCACTTAGGTGACACCATTCACAAGTTTCAGGTTGCTTTTGAGTTTATATTTGTGAAATTATTCCAGCATTGGGCACTAATTCCTGCCTGGCACTTCTGTTGTAATGAGCCACAGGCTGACTTTCATGGGAAACCTAATGTGCATGAAACTGCAAACAGTTTGGGTTTTCGTTTTCCTCAACATTCCACACCACTATTTATTCTACAGTTAAAAGTAAAAATTATTATAAAAGCAGCACAAACACTAATTTAGCTTATCTGTTAATAGGTGCAAATATATTTTTTATTTCTAAAACGTTTTATTAAACTGAACATATGTACTAAAAGGTGTGCTTTGGTATATGTATCTTACTTGTCACTAACTGAACACACTTGTGTGACCAATACCCTGATCAAGAAAAAAGACCATAACCAGTCCCCCCTGAAATTCCTTTCATGCCCCTGTCCAGTCACTATTCCCCCTCCAAGATGACTACTCTCCTAACTTCTAACAGCACAAATTAGTTTGGCCCATTTTATCTCTTCTTTCACCTGTACACTACAGTTGTAGGAGTAATTGTAGTTCATTCTTTTTGTTGTGCAGTATTGCACTGTGTGAATATGTCACAGCATATCTATTCTTCCCTTGAGGGGCATTCGGATTGTTTTCAGACTCCAGGATATTATGTACCAACATTCCAGTACAAGTCTGATGAGCATAGGCCCTCATTTCTCTTAGGTATATACATAGGAGTGGATTTTCTGAGTTATAAGATATTTGAATATTTAGCTTCGGTAGAAACTGCCAAGCAGTTTTCCAAAGTGGTTGTACCCATTTACACTCCCACCAGCTGTATGAAAGTTCCGGTTGCTCTGTATCCTTGCCAACAATTGATATTTTCCTTCCTTTCAATTTTAGCCTGATGGGTGAATGCAAATAAAAATTTTAAATTAAAAAACAAAACCATTTGCCCCAGGCTTGCTGGCTGGCTGGCTGTAACCTCAACAGGAACTAATGTCAGAAGATAGGACCAGAACGTAGGAAACATGGGTCTGAGAGAGGCCATACAGTTGTGGTATTAAACAGAGTAAAACATAAATTCATTAGACTCTAAAGCTATCATAGCTGAACACATCAGAAGGTTGGATTGACTTTGTAGAAGGGCTGTTGGGGGCATAGATGAGCTATATTTAAGCCAACAAATGCTGTTGGGCTGGTGTGTGCAGTTATGGTTAATCGAATTTTCCTGTTAACTGAGTATTAATGAAAGTACCTATCCCTTCCGTTTTGTGTGACTTTTCTTGAAAATGTTCTTACTTTACTGTTATAGCATAGTAGACCAGTTTTTCAGTGAGAATTTCGGTGAATTACGATTGAAACAAAGTTTCAACAGTAGTACTTTCTAATGGAAATATTATTTTAATTACGGTCTTCTCCCCACTTCTATTATACCTGCTTAAGAACAAGTCCCCAAAAGTTATACTTTGAGCATTTCCTACAATCATTCATATCTTATTTATTTATGTATGTGTATTGGTCTTAATCTCAGAGGCTTTTTAAAACTCTGCTTTTCTCTGATACCAACAAATTCCCAAAATTCCTATGGATATTTACACTGAAAAAACTTACCGGGAATCCCACACCTGAGAGAAAACACTGTTAACTCCTCCTAATATTTTTCAGTTCATCTCTCCATGTCAGTCAGTACTCTGCACTTCCTCATTTTGATGACTCCACAATACTCCCTTCTTCATAATTTATCGATCCAGTCCCCTTTTTGGACATAAGATTGTTGCCAATATTTTGCTATTAAAGCACTGCAGTGAA